AGCCAAAATAACTTCTAATTCTATCTGTTAATTTATTGTTGTAGAAGATACATGGATTATTATATATGAATATTTAAAAAGATTTTTAACACTATTCGATTTACGTATGTCAAAAATTTTAAGAGTATATTAATGTCATTAAAAAATATTATTGATTTTTATGAAATTTCAATAGAATGAAATAAAATATAATTAAAAGTTAAGCATCTAACACAAGATATTTGAGAAATTGAATTCACTAAAATGAATACAACAGTACTACATATTCTAGTTTATGTCAACTAAAATTCGTATAATAAAAAAAACTTTTTTTAATTTTTTTTTAAACGAGAAAACTTTTTTTTTATATTTTCTATACATATAGAAAAAAGTTAATGAAAAAAAAAATTTAATAATTTTATTTTTTTAGAATTAATGAATGATTAGTTATAAAAAGAGACAAATTTTAGTATTTATGACAATTAATTTTAGTGAAAAATAGTATATGCTTATTAAATTATAAAATGTTTGTAAATATTTACCATTTAAGATTTTATAAAGGTAAGAGGATTTATTAAATTACATAAAAATTGTTATAAATTTTTAACATATTATTAATAATAAAATATTAATCTAGCATTTTATTAATTACATTTTATATTTAATATAAAATAAAATATGTGTTTTATATTATTCAGATTGTTAGTAGAAAATATTATGAACTTTTTATGAAGCATTGGTTAGTAATTTATAAAGAAAATAATTAGTTAGACATGCATATCTTCCAGTTAAAAAAAAAAATTAAGAGCAACCTTTTTTTTGTAAGTTCTTTTTTTTAAACATATTTTATTATAATTATTTATTTTATTTTTAAATGATTAATAATGGTTAAGAATTAGTTATTTTGTTGTTAAATGAATTATTTTTAGAATAATTAATAAATTATATGCAAATATTTAAAGAAAAATAAAAAGGATTTTATTTTTAATAATATTTAATTTTCGAGTATTTTTAAAATTATGTTAATGAGTTTATTTTAAATAATAATTTTACAATAAAAAATTTTAATAAAGATTAATATTTTTAATAAATATATAGATAACTTTTACTAAAGTAAATAAGTTCATTTTAAACAATAAATGCTTAGCAACGTTAACTATATGTATAAAGTTTTTCCATTTGTAGAATTAATGTAATTTTTACACAAGATAAAATTAGTAGGGATTACTCTACATGCTCTATCTATTTGCTTACTCAATACTTTAGAAATTCAATGAACAGTACATCATTAATTCAATAGAAGGCATTTATCTAATTTATTAAAAATATTCCCTTATTTTTATTAAAAGTTAAATATTTATTATAAATATATTTGATCATATATGATGTAATATTATCTATACAAATTAATCATTATCTGATAAAATATTTATAACTTTTTCTAAAATTTCACATAAAAAAAATAAAAAAAATAAAAAAAATAAAAAAAAATAGTTATAATAAAAAACAAAAATAAATTAAATGAATTTTTTTTTATTATGGAGCCATCTAACAGTTATGCTTCTTTTTTTAGCCAGCTATATAAGATATTATCTTAAATATATAGCTTGAATAACCTTTTTTAATACTTATATTTTATTATTATTTCATGTTCGAATAATAACGTCCTTTAAAAATCATTGCTCAACATATTAAAAAAATTACTTTAACAGGCAATTAACAAGTTAATTATTGAAGAACTATGAATAATGTAGAATTATATTAAATATTAATTAAAAGGAAGTGGTATTAATAGATGTTCTTATAAAAGTTCATATTACACGACGAAATCTTTATTTGAGGAAATGGTATAACCTCTAAAAAAATAATACAAAACACAAAATGGATTAATAGTAGAACATAATATCATTACATAGAAAAAAAATTATGTTTTTCTATTTTAAGAATTAATAGTTTATAATCATTATTTTGAAATTTTTATCTCGAACTAAAATATAAGTGAGAATAATTTATATAAGATAAAAAAGGGATATAAGAATTTAAATATACTTAAGGAAAAATCAATGGTTAAAAATAAAAATATTACATTAATATTATTCCATGTGAATTACCACAATATATAAAAAAAATCAGACAAAACATTCTTAAGAAAATACAAAATTGTCAATAAACCTATTGAAATTTTAAAGTTTGAGATGATATATATTACATTTGAAGGTGTACATGTACATATAAAGTATTTAAGAATGTACATTAAAATGTGTATAATGAAACACATATAAAGGCAAATACTAAAAAGAAAATTAATAGAATGTATACAAAAAAAAAAAAAAATAATTACATATATATATATTTTTTTTTTTTGGACGTGTGATTATAACATGACACATGGTCATAAGTAATATTAAATTTTAAGTAAATAACAAATTGATAAAGAATAAATAAATACAATAGTGTGTTTTTAATATAATGAAATTTTTTAATATTTATTTATGATTACGATAATTACAAGATTTTAAATATAAAATAAATAAATTATTTATTTTATATTATATAGCATAACATATATGAAGTATATAATTACCTATAAGTGGTATTATAAAAAATAAAATATTTAAAAATTTCATCACATACCCTCTACAGGTTTGACTACTTAAATAATATAAACGTATTTGGATAGCTAATTAATAAATGAATTATATTAATTATATAGATCTTCTATTCAATAATTCATCAATTTTTCTTTTCGACACTTTTGTAAGAATTTTGAGAAAATAATTTGATAAACGTTATACAATGTAATATTCACTAATTTTGTCATAGTACATAATAATTTTATAGAAAATAAAAAATATAAGTGTTTAAATGTTTAATTATCTTAATATACATAAGATTTAACACGTTAAGCTTACATAATAAGCAACAAATATTTTATGTAAAATAAGAGGAGTAACGTTATTCAGAACATTGTCTTTGGCATTTTAATTATCTCAAGTAGTATTTATGTAATAATTTATTTTCATTTTTATTTCAGGATATATTTTTTCCGTTAAAAAATATTATTTTTTTTTTGCGAGATATAAATGAGAGATGATATAAAAAAATGTGGATACTAACTTTGTAAACTCTAAAATCTAGAATGTTTCAGTTTGCACGTGTTCTGATCTAAAATATGTATAACTTCATTTTGTATGTTTTTTATCTTTGCAAATAAGAAGTATTTAACATTTTAAAGTGGATTAACATGTAAAATGATTAGCACCTATATTTATTAACCAATTATATAGTCTTCTTAAGAAAAAAAAAAATATATATATATATATATATATTTTATTATTATTATTAGTGAACAAAAATATTACTGAATAATAACTTTTAGATAAAGGTAATTTTTTCACTCTTAAAAATAAAACTATTAAATAGTATATTTGAAAAATTTTATATCTTTTTTTTTAAAGTTAAAATATTTTTTGCTTATACTAAAATTCTAATCATATACAAATGTATGATTGAATTAAAGAAAAATTTAATTTTTTTTTAATTATAAATTCATTATTAAACTTACTAATAAATAATTTTATAATACATGTCAATATAAATATGTTCATATAAATGTCATACATTGATTTATTAAATGGGTGTTCGGTGACTTTACTAGAGTACTGAACAAACAAATTAATAAAGAGCATGTGGAGGTGTCTCTACGATTTTGTTGTATTTATATATATTTTTAAATGCTTTGAACGAGTGATTCTTAACTATGTGCTATACTTCGTTCAGCATTCTTTGATTTGAATAGGCATTTATTTACTTTAATAAAAATCCCTATTTTTATTAAAAATTTAAATCCTTATTGAATATTGATTATTAATTAAATGTAAATTACTTATTTTTTTGTTATGAGTTATGTTCAGCAATTTAAACATATTGCTGTTGAATGAACAAACATAAACAATTAGTAAAAATGCAAATAAATTATATGAATATTAATTATGTGAAAATTTTATTATCCATTTATAAAATTTTCTCTCACCATTTCAAAATATAAATATTATGTAAATTAAACTCTTTTATCAAAACATTATTATTTTTTGTAAAAAAAATCTCTCTATCAATAAATCATTCTGTCTCCTTTGCCAAAAAAAAAAATAAAATCTTTTTTTTTTTTTTTTTTTATCTTCATCTTTTTCAAAAGAAAAATATCTCAAAAAAAAAAAGTTCCAATAATTTTTTTTTTTTTTTTTTTTTTTAGTTAGTACCACCAACTACGTATTCTCCACGTAGCTAGTCCTTTTTATAGCCAAAAAGGTTAATGAAGTCTTTTATTAACTATACATAATATATTTTTATCTTATATTATACTTCTTAAGAATGTAATTAAAGCATAAAAACTAACAATCAGTTTATTAAGGAGTGGACATAAAAATGAATGGTAATTTTTTAAAAAATACAACTCTTATCTTAACTATGCAATATTAATTTAAATAAATTTATAAAAAAAATAACATGTATATATATAAAAAGTATAATGTATTTCAATGAATATATAAAATAATAGAGAAGATTTTTCATATTTTATTAAAAAAAGAGGGTATATTTTTTTTTACTTTTGAATAATATAATCATAGGTATATTCTTGCAAAATAAATTATATAAGAAGTTTTTTTAATATTACTTTTAAATCTAATGTAGAATTTAAGATTTCATCAATGTTTATAATTCATTTTTTATTTTTTTTTTTATTATCCTTGTTTTTATAAAATGTGTAATCATTAAAATTGTTATGGATATTATGCTACCATACGAAAGAGTAAAAATATGAAACATGAAATCAATATAATACAATAACTTATTATAATAAGAGATATTTTAATATGTTCTTTCGAATTAAAAAAGATTGCCATATAATTTAAAAAATTAAACAATGTATTAATGACAAGAAAGAATGAGAAAATAATAAAGTACCAATGAATTTATCTTTACATTTCATTTCTGTGTAATCATTAAAAGTGTTATAGATATTATGCTACCTTATGATAGAGTAAGCATATTAAACATGAAATCATTAGAATACAATAACTCATTAGAAAATGACGTTTTTCACAATTAACATTCGTTTTAGAATCGTATTCCATATGACTTAAATAAACCAAATAGAGTGGTAATGACAAGGAAATAAGAGAAAAAAGGAAACTATCAATGAATTTTTTACATTTGGTTACTTTTTGTTTGTTAACATTATTTTCATTTAATATCTCTACTATTGTTTCTGAAGGTTCTGGTATATTAAATGAATGAAAAATTGATTTCTGTGCTTTTGATTTTACAAGATTTTTCTCCATTTCATCTGGTTTCTCTTTTATTTCTTCTTTTTCTAATGCATCTAATAGGTTTTCTGTGGATTCACTTTTTGACTTTTTAAATATATTTTCTGATAATGTTCTTTTAGCCTTTAAACGAAAAGTTCCTTCTGAGATTTTTTTAATGTTCCAAGATTCGAAAGAAATCTAAGAATGAAATAAATATTTAACATATAAAAAATTTTTTTTTTATCAATAAAAATTTATTAAAAAGAAAATTATATAAAATAATAAAAAGATATAATTCTAGAGTTTTATTATTATCTTACATTGTTAGAATATTGAAATATCAAAATTAAAAATGCAAACATTAAATATTTTATAAAAAAAAATAATAAATTCATTTTTTTTTTTTTATATAATTTGAAAGTAAGGATATTTTAAGTATTTATAAATTTTTTTATTGATAATGTTTTAAGGATATTTTATGATATTCTAGATAATATTATTTCCTTTGTTAATTTTTTGTTTTTTTCTACTTAAAAAAATTTTTTTAATAAAAATTAATTTTTATTTGTTACTTTATTTTATTATATTTCTCTTATATAGTTTCATATACTTTTTATTATAATTATTATTAGTTTTTCAAAAAGTAAAATTAAATAATCAAAATTTTAAATGATTAGGAAGAAATAGTATGTATTGAACATGGAAAGATATTTTAGGTATGCTATAAAAAATTTATTTTTCAAATTTTATAAAAATTTCTTGTATTGACATAAATATTGACATAAATGAAATATATTCATAAAATAATACAAATGAACATTATATATTTAATACCATTAATTAAAAATTTATTTAACAATTTCTTTTAAGTGAAAAAAATATGTTTTTGAAAAATTTTCATTCTTTTTTAGGAGAAAAAGCATATGTTTAACATTAATATAATAACTAAAAAAGAAAAAAACAAAGCAAAATAAAATAAAATATAGAAT